AATACTATTGTGCCAGTGTATTCCTTATATGAACCTATCAGTGTATAACATTAGCATTCAGATATTGTTATAAAATAAGTTAAAAATTCCAAATATTATCGTGTAATATGACAAGAGATAGTGTTGTGTTCGCTGTGACAAAAAGGTTTCGATATTCAAATATAACATTTAATCAAAGTGACTACGGTAGGCCTGCATATCACTCACAACAGAAATAGATACATAATAATGTTTTGTTTCTTTTCCTACACATCAGTTGCGAGAGCAATGTGTATGCTAACTAAGTTTTCGTCAATTTATATAGCATTTTTAAAAGATGATTTGCGGCAATTAAAACATTCGAAGAATGAAAAAGAAATTAGGCCTATTGCTGAAATGATTAGGAAAAATATAATTAAAATCCATCTATTGGAAGGGATGCCAGACGGACATATGAAAACAAAATCGGATAATTACTTGGAGTATAGACTTTCAAAAATAGCATATTAATTAACAATGATATCAGTTTTTCATAAAATCACTAATAATTCTGAAACGTTGCCGATAAACCTGGAATCGTGTTCAGATGTTTTCATAAATACACTCACACGAACGCCCAAGTGCACTTTGCGCCCTATTGGATAGTGTTTACAAAATCACGTTTCGCGAAGGCCGGTATTGAAACGCCAATTACATCACTTATATTTCTTATTCAGCGGCGACAAATGAATCACTGCATTCTAAGGCTGGGACGGGTACTCGAATCCGGGTCGGGTACAGCTGGAATCGAGTCCTATTTTTAGGAATCGAGTATCCGGTAAGGGAGAGAGCTCTGTAATGACAAGGGCAGACAATAGCTTGTCTTTTTCATTTTTTGACTTAACACACATTTACATCATTGAGTGAGTGAGTGAGTTTAGTTTTACGCCGCACTCAGCAATATTCCAGCTATATGGCGGCGGTCTGTAAATAATCGAGTCTGGACCAGACAATCCAGTGATCAACAACATGAGCATCGATGTGCACAATTGGAAACCGATGACATATGTCAACCAAGTCAGCGAGTCTGACCAACCGATCCCGTTAGTCGCCTCTTACGACAAGCATGAGTTACTGAAGATCCATATTCTAACCCGGAAATTCACGGGTTTTTACATCATTGGTATTGTCCGATTAATGAAGCATAGTTTTAATGACTGTAATTTATCTGTGCATGTGCAGTGAGTAGTTAAGTTACAGTAGCAGCAGGAACAAAACGTTCGTTGTTATAACGAGGAAAGTAAGTAATGGTGTTACTCTCTATATTGGTTAAACAGACGTAAATTAAATACTAGTAGCTTGAGGTCAGTTTTAATGTCTTATTACCAACTGTTCAAGTTTTCCACAATAATCTCTGTCAAATCGTGATTGAATATTCAGAAAGTTGACCCGAATGTATTTCTTACCTTTCCGGGTACTCGACTCCGATTCGGGTACGTACATGCGGGTACTCGATTCCATTGTTTCCTACTCGTCCCAGCCCTACTGAATTCCTCATACATTTTAGAATCTAATTACAACTGGTCTTTTTGGCACCAATACCAAGTGTCTAGATAAAGTGAAACGAAAGATATTGGGGGTGCTCGAAAGACAACACCTGTTTGAAATGTAAACAAAGAAAATTTCAGACTTTACACTGTGTAGCATTTTCTCAAATTTTCAGACACCCATTTGCATGGAAAGAGCATAGTAGCAAGAAATGGGAAATTAAAAATAGATACAATACAGGAATGTGATGTGTTAACACGGAACTGTCAAGTTTCTGTGCTGCGTGACGCCATGACTGATGCAAGTGTTAAAAGATGAAACGTAGGCATCATGCATGTACTTGTACAACATGTATTTTAGTTCCTATGATGTGCAACATGTAGTTTAGTTCCTATGATGTGCATAGATACAGTTTCGTATGTAACTCTTCGTCAGAATAATTTCCAATATCGAAGTCCAGTCCACGATACACCCTATCCTTTCTTTGCTGAACTGGCATCATGAAAGCAGTGTTAGCCATGAACGCCATTTGCGAGTTAACCGCACTGTTAAAAAGTTAGCAGCGGTTCTTAGGTGTGTTAACTTAACGTCACGTTAACAGCCTGTTAAAAGTTAACAGAGTTTTGAACAACAAGATAACCCTCTGTTATTAGGTAACAGTCGGTTAAATGTACTTAACGGCTGGTTAAAAGATAACCGAGTTTTGAACAACCGGGCCCTGATAGACGACAGTGTGTCTCTGCTAATGGAACATTATGAAAAAACCAAATGTTACTGCAGGGGTTCCTCAAGGATCTGCCCTTGGTTAATTTGTGTTCCTTGTATATATCAATGATTTACCTGGAAATTTACAAAATATCACAATAATGTTGGCCGATGACACATCAATCGGTGTTGCGGGAAAATATGTAAAATCCATAGAAGCAACTCTCAACTATGATTTAGCCCAATTGAATAAATGGGCAGAAAAGTGGTGTGGTGTGTTCTAACGGTTATATCTAGCATACTTTAAGACATAGAGGGGGTGGTGGTGGTGGTTCTAACGGTTATATTTCTAATACATGTAGAGGCGGGAGGCCTAACGGGTATGAACAACAATAAAAACTTTCATGCATTTATAACCCACATTTTCCAACCCTTTTACCGGTCTCTAAAAGGGAGCTGGCAATAGATTTTAATGAGCTTCGTCCTTCAAGCCTGAAAACCTTGTAATATGGTTGATTAATCCTTTGTCATTTATCCAAAAAAGTAGTGAGGTAGTGCTCTATTATTATAGATTTCTAAAATATATGGACACTATTGGGACTTTGGTAACTGTCATCCGACATTATTTGACGACATTTCTCATGGTTTGAATATAGCCGACTTTATAGAAGATAAATATCAGTTTACAACACAACTGCCTAAATCTTGGTATTTTCGGAACCAGAGAAGGGATATGCCGATATTTAGGTCACGATATAAGCATATTATGGTCACGATATAATTTTTTATTTATTACCGAAGTCTTTAATTGCGGAAATTACGCGATAATCTACTTTCCATCAAAGGCAGTCTCCCCGCCATCGTTGTATTTAGAAGGCGGTTTCTTAGAAGCAACGTGACGTCATAACATTGTTCATGATGTCATGTCACCATGATAAAGTGATATTTTACCCGGTGCATATCGCATGAAAACAAATTATCCCCGATATGTTTGCCCTCGTAGGTTATAAGCATTGTTATGATCATTCGTTGAGGTTAATGCCACCCGTTGAATTCTTTGTTGTATTTTGAGCGGTGAAACTAAATAAATGATTTCTTTGGTCTACCCATAACAATTAAGGTGTCAACTTCCACTGTATACCTTACAGAAAGAAGTTTTGACTTTACTTTGATAACGAGCACATCTGATCGATTCCTTGAAGCAAATGATGCAATTCAATATCATTTCTACATTTTATTTTAAATGCATCAATCAATTACAACAAATGAGTAGACAGATTGACTGCTATGTGGCAAGGAATAACCAGGCGCCAGCGATTTATGATATTCTTAGCAAATGTAACTTAAAATTCCCTCTCATAAAAATACAATAATATATAGTAATATGATGAAGAAAATAATACGAACCAGGTTAAACTATGACAACGCAATATAAGAATGTATGATCGAAACATAAATCATAATAAATCACATATGATTAAAACATTAAATTAACTTCAAATATGTCATTGCGTCAACATTGAAAATAATTCGAAAATGAATAAAAAGAAACGTACATTTCAAAGCGTAAACAAACAATATCCTGTTATTTTGGGATATGCTATGAAGAACTTCAAAATGTAATAGAAATAACATCAAATTATTGAAAGCTATTGTTTGTAACATATGTCCTTGCGTCAACATCGAAAATAACTCCATAATGAAAAACAATTAACTTTAATTTTCGAAACATACACAAATAATCCCTGGCTTTTTTAAGACGTGTCACGAATAATTTCACAGCTGGTAGAATCAACACGAAATTATAGAAACCATTTGCTAACAAAAACTTGAAAATTAATAATCACAAAGCGTCACAAACATAGCTATTACCCCCGCCACATGTCGATATCTGAATGTCGCAATTATCCTCTGTCTGACCCTGAAAATTATGTAAACGTTACCGAAACTGTCATCTGATGCCTTGATGCAAAATGCGAACAAATTCCGTCCATAAAGTTTGGAGATATCGCAAGAATGCTCGCTGTAACCTTGAAAATAATCCGAAGGTCACTGAATTCGACTGGCGTTAGACGATTCTCCCAACGCATCTTGGTGCTACCTTTAAGCAAAACATATTAATTCTGTCTTGTATTTTCGCACTAAAAAGTTAGACATGTGCAAAACACTTTTCACTGTGAACTTAAAATGAGCACAAGTTTCCCAATCAATTGGTGTTGGGGAAATCCCGCCAATACACCTTGATATAAAATTGGATCAAAATCTATTAATACTTTCCTGAGTTCGCGGCTACCAAGCTTGGCATGTGCAAAACTGTTACACCTTCGCTGTGACCTTTAAAATGACTTCAAGGTCACTAAATTCAAGTGGTGTCGGTAAATCTCCGATCTCCAGTCAATAAACCTTGGTACCAAATTTGAACAAAATCCATCATTTCTTTCTCGAGTTCTTTCAGTAAACGGAATGGGGAGTCATTTGAACAAGCGATTGTAGTTTTGAAATTGCCTTTTTGTGCAGTTTAATATCTACGTTTGATTCTAGCCGACTTCTACCAATCTCAAACATAGCATATTTTTTTTTTTTCTTGAAGTTTGTGATGCATTTTATGCAGATTTTACGTTTTTGGGAAGTACCAAGCCAAGATACAAAGTCTCACAAAATGGGGATCGTGAGGCTGCAACATAGCAAAACCAATTTGCTTGAGGCTGACAGATAATATGTAGAAAAATAAAAACATAAAACAGCTGCATTTGTATCATATTCTAGGTGAGGCTGACTACTATTTGAACGTCCTCGTAGTTATACCCGTTAGAACACCCACCCACCTCTCCGACTCTACATGCATGCAAGTGTGTTAGATATACCCGTTAGAAACCCACCCCTACCCCACCCCACTTTATATGTATACATATCAAAACCTCAAAAGATATTGGCGAAAAGACATGATACAGAGGACAGATTATATCGATTATATATCAGGACGAATATCATTTTCGTCATTTAGCTAAGATTTGTCAATTCTTTCTTGGGTTATCGCGCTAACAATCTTTATGTTCGCAAAACCCTCAGATTTTTGCTGTGACATTGAAAATTATCTCAAGGTCACTCCATTTCACTTGTGTCGGTGAATCTCGCCAATATACCTTGGTACCAAATTTGAACAAAATCCATCATTTCTTTCTTGAGTTATCGCCCTAACAAGCTTATTTGATGTATGAAATGCAACGAAAAACAAACACCCGCGTATTTACAAGTGATTAAAACTGTTATTACAATTTACGTAAATATTTATTACATTTTACCGCAACGAAAATTATTACAATTTACGTCAATTTTTATTACAATTTGCGTATTACAATTTACGTCAATTTTTATTACAATTTACGTTTTCATTACAATTTACGTCAAGTTTATTACAATTTGCTGCAAGTATTGCAATTTGCGTTTTTATTACAATTTACGTCGTAACAAGCCTGCCTTTGTTGGAAAGGAGATTATGGCGGGGTTTTTTTCAATTAAAAACTTCGGTAATAAATAGAAAATTATATTCGTGCCGATATCATGTGAACGGCCTAAATGTTGACATGATATAGGTGGTTGTGTCGTAAACATGATATGACAAGGGCACTCATATTTATCTTCTATTAAGTCGGCTATATTCCAACCATGAGAAACGTCTTCAAATAATGTCTTATAAAAGTTACCAAAGTCCCAATAGTTCCATGGAAACAAACATCACATTTATTTTAGAAATCTATAATAAAAATGCACAACTTCACTATTTGTTTGATAAATGACAAAGGTTCATTCATAATAAAAGGTTTTCAGTTCGATAAAAAGTACATATTTTGATATTTTGAACAATGTTTGGCCGTATGGCCTATGACACACCAACGATACCTAATAATACATAATTGTAAAATATTTGGCATTAAAAACATATACACGTATCCACATATCACAGATCAGTTTATCTGTCTGTCGTGGGTACCGACCACCGCACTGTGAGAATCACAGCATGCTGGGCCGGGACAAGCCACCCCTATACTGACGTCATCACCCACTGACATGCGTCAGTATCCACGACAGGCCGATAACAAAGCATGTATACATGTATAAAAATTTGAGATATATATCTTAAACATGAGAGTGATGTGGTAGATACTGCTTATTATCTGCAAATTGCCGGCGCTTGTGCATTTTTGTAACTAATGCAGTTAGAGGCGTTCTCGTGAGCTCTCCAGTCGTCCCGTGTCGTGCACATGGGGATGATTCTATACGAATTTCTCCTGATGAGTTTTACCTCGCGTTGCAGGCAGGTGAGAAACTTTTCGGCTGCGTCCACACCTCCGTAGATCACGGGCTGATTCATTTAATTGTCGTATCGGACCACCACATACCCGAACCCGCAGGCCTCATGTTCTTGCATTTTGCGAGTGAAACTGTGGTTGGAGGCCGGCGTGTTGTTGGCGTGGTTGTCAACGTTTTTGATGAGGGCCTAGAAGCTAAGTAGATCACGTAGGGCACGGGCGTTTGTTTCTTGGGGTTGACGAATTTTAAGATGTTGTTTTATTATTATTACTTTCTAAATCTTTAAATCGGCAATGTTTAACCATGATGATTGCTGCTGTCAGCGGACCCAGGAACATGCCATCCTTGTGGTACAGATGGCAGCTGATTGCGCTCAAAGCGTGACTGACGAACGGATCCACGTCCGACCCTATGGTTGTCGTCAATTTATTACATTATTATTGTCACTGAAGTATTAGTTGCCTTTGCCACCGACCACAAGCGACACAAGCCTTTCTCGCTTGTCAGTGTTGGCATCGTTGTCGCATATTTGTTTCAGTAGGTCGTCGCTCTCCATCTTATAACTTGGAGATTAGGATCGTGATCCCTTTGTTCCCATTGTCGATGCGTTGCCCACTGCCATGCAGCTGATTGTCGTCTGTGGATTGCATGTCCAGCCACAGTGCGTACTGGGTGGTCAGGTATTCCCCGATCGTCGCATTGTGGAGTTGAAGATCCTTGACGACCACATCGATTTCCGGCATGCACTTGATCGCTGGCAGTTTTCGGATCTTCTCCCACTGTTGGTGAGCTTGCACGCCTTAATGATGGCTCTTGATGATGGCTCGACCAAAGTTGCGCATGATTGTGCATTTGACTCCAAAGTAATGTGAAAAGACCAGCAAGCCGTCCCGGCGACGATGACATCGTTCACACCCACATTGGGGAATCGAACCAGCAGCGTTTGGTTTTGATTGAGCGTGCTCGGATTGTTCGTGATCGTCAGGGATTGACGGACGGCTTTGACTCCAAGCGGTTCCCTCAATCTTTGGAAAGGATCTAGTTTTTGTCCGTATTGCACTGTTATATACATATAAGAATTATATGTTTAGTATATTAAAATAAAATAATGGCCGAAGACGGCGACGACTATATCGGATTGGACAATTTATCCATGCTGCCACCCGATGATGATGATGATGGTGCCGACGACACTTCGTCCATGGGTGACACCTTAAGAAACAAAATCTTAAAGACGGCCATGGCTGATTATTACGATGCTTTAAAGCAAAATAAAAATTACGTCGAGACTTCATACCGTGACTATTCGAAGCTTGACATCAATGACGAGGGCACGCTGAGTGTGAAAGCCCATACGGGAGTCGATCTCATGCATGTCCACACTAGGGGACCGCTCGCTCTGTCAACTCAGAAAACATGGCTTCAACTTCGTCTGCGAGGAATTGAACCTGCAGGATTATGGTGGCACGTGACACAAACAACTTCCGCTGAAGGCCGCCAGAGATCTGTGAATGACGAGCACCAAGCTCAGTGCCGTGGCGAGTGCCACCATGTGAGACGACATGCACATGATGCATCTCACAGACTCAAAAAATTATTGAGCACTTACTGGAATGAACCCGTACCCGGTTTTGAATATCCCGTCAGGCCCGTCAGGGAACTTAAACGTCTGGACAAGGCCCTGAAAACCACTGGCGGAAAGCTGATAACCAAAGTGAACATGCTTGAGGAATGGATTGCTTACAAGAGAACGAAACTCAAACAAGCAGATGATGACAGCAACGAGATCAGCCTACGCCACATCGAACAAAGATGGTGCAACCTGGATGACCAGCAATTGTCCCAGCTGTAAGCCGCCACCACCAACCGAGAAGTGCTCTGATCGCAAATCAGCTGAGTGTGAGAAACCATCGACCGAATCTTGAATGAAAACATGTTGGTCAACAGGATCTAAAGAAGGGATCGCCAGTGGTTTGAGGGTGCTCAGCTTCATCCGAACGACCTTGGTCGTACCAGCGGCGGTGGAAGCAGTAGCCCACCGACAACACCACCACGGCGGCGACATCAGAGACTGGATTCAAAAACTCGCAAACTGCTGGCAAAGCCACTGAAGCACTCCCGGGCATCCTGGGCAGCATCGTCTCGTGGCTGCTAACCACGCTGTCAAAAATGGTCATGTGGCTTGGTCAAAACCTGTGGGTGTTCGTCGTTGCCATGGCCGGTCTGGTGTACGTTGCTGCTGAGGATTTTTTAACCAAATAAAACACAGTCAGACCGCGATGCCATCTTGCGATCGACATGTTGCCGATTTTCGTCGGCCACTGCCACGACGGTTGTTGCCGGCAACATCACCAGTGCTCGGTGCATCGTGACTCACGTTAATGTCGGGATTCATGCCTAGTTTCTGATAGCTGGACACGATGATGATTTCATTATTGTATCCCACCACTTTATCAATCCTCAGTCGCATGTCGCTCGGAGCCATGTACAACCCCAAGCCAAAAACATAGCCGACTGTAGACCTGGCCGTCAGCAAATCCACAGGCGATGCGATGGCATTCTCGACATTCAACACAAACTGTTTCTGTGCGTCGAATGCGCTCACCCGACCTATGATGTCGGATAGCGTTTGCGCCTACGCGCTGAGGATGGCCAACACGTACGTTCGAATCATTCGGTATGACGACACCCGCATCTGAAAACCACTTCGACGTATCCAACATCAATATTTTCCAATCCTCTACTGGTCCCTGCGGAAACCTCCAAACTCGGTAATCCTTGCTCGTGACGTAAGATTTCGCGAACGTCTCGTTACCCCATTCTTTCAGCTGTTTTTTGTAGGCATCCACGAGAGGAATATCATGAACAATGATTAGAGCCAATCCGCAATTTTCTCATTGATTTTGAATTGTCACAAACAGGTTCGTACACACGCCGATCGTATGGATTGTTTATCACATTCCATGGAATGTCCTGCAGAATCGGTGCGCCAATTTCTTTCAGGTTGCGCCTGATCTGGTAGTACATGTGAAACGACAACATGGACTCAAGGGATCATGACGAGTGTCGTTCAAAGTCACGCCGCACCTGGTCATTGCGCACCACACTGGGAAGTTGAATTGATTCTGCCAGAACTGCATGCACTGTCACAGGAAACCGGTAACACGCAGATAAACCGAGCTCCAAAATGGGAACCATCCTCTGCATCGACCACAGTGAGCTCAGCTGTGCTCACGTGATCACTTTTGGGATAAAACAACATGTTGCATATTATTATATTTACATATATATATTTTTGAATATTGTATGTGACACTATCGGGAATACGCAGCGGCGAGGCCATTCAACTGCTGCACGCAATCCCCCTCTGCAATATCACGTACTACCGTGATGGACAACAACTACCAACAACAAGAGCTTTGTTGACACACGCGGACCGACATTTACTACAGCATGTGCTCGCTCAATGACAAAATCTTCAGCCGAACTCAAACTGAACGATTCCAACAGCATGGTTGTGCTATCGAACAATGGGAAAAGCAGCTGGAGACTCGGCCAACCTCTGGCCAGAACGCTCGGGCTGACATCGAATGACATACAGCCACAAGACACCGTGATGGGCCAAAATTGCCTAACCTTGTTCCCTATCACAAGCTGTGCGTGCATCTTGATCTGATTAGCATGACCGATAACATTCAAGGCAAACGGCCTTCCATGCTGCTCAGAGCCGTTGTGGTCAAAAGTGAAACATACAGTGGCAGAACCGAATTGTTCCCATCGCTGCAGTACAAAAAGTTTGCACTATGGTATGATCCCAGAATTAAGAATATCCATTTTAGATATAAAAAAACAACCCGTACATAAAGGGTATCTGAGCGTGACGCTACACATCAACAATGGACTCTTCGGGGCCTGGAACGCATTGTGTTAGAAAATGCGCCACCCGAGCGATCTCTGACCTCGGGACATGCGAGGATTTGACGACCCAGAGCCGAAGGCAAACTGTACGCTTTGCAACTGAAAAACAACGTGTACAAACACACCGAAGTGCGCGGCGCCGGTGGTGGTGGCGTCAGCAACCTAGGAGATTTAGACAATGTGGAGACCAGGGGACTCGTAAACAACACTCTATACAATCTCGCCTGTAACAACAACGACAAATGGGTGATGGTCGCAGCATTCAATTGTGGTCTAGGCGAATTAAACGATGTCGAGACACGGGGTACCTCCGAAACATCCTATACCATCTCGTCTATACCGACGACAACCAATGGAAGATGATCTTGCCTAATATCAATGGGCTGCTCGATATCAATGTTGTGTCTTACTCAACACACAGTCATATCTTATAGAGACACAGTCATATCTTATAGAGGTAATTCCATGAACAATGAATACTCTTTATACGTAGCATAATATATGCAACATGACAACTACCTAACGATTTTATACGAAATCACGATTCTAAGTGATCGATATCCGGTTTGATGCAGATAATATGTTATGGAAAAGCTCGGCACTTTGGAATGGGGAGGTATTTTGACTTCACAATGAAAGTAAGTATGGTGTCGAGGCGTGTTTTCTTACAAAATTCATTTTGATCAAATGCTATTCCTAAAGATTTGAAGTAAGTGTCAACATTTATATATGGTGCTTTAAACATGAAAATATTACCTGCCGGTTCCTGAGCAGACTGTCTTGATGGAATTTCTTCTTTAATAGTCATGTTGCCGATGTTGAGGTTCAGTCCTGAAAACACACAACATGACAGTTCAGATGACTTATTCAAAACAGTCATATCTTAAAGAGGTAATTGCATGAACAGTGAATGCTCTTTATGTGTATCATAATATATGCAACATGACAACTACCTAAAGACTTTATACGAAATCACGATTCTAAGTGATCGACATCCGGTTTGATACAAATAATATGTCATGGAAAAGCTGGGGACTGTCTTGATAGAATTCCATTTTTAATAGTTATGTTGCTGATATTGAGGCTCAGTCCTGAAAACATACAACATGACGGTTCAGATGACTCATTCAACACACAGTCATATCTTATAGAGGTAATTGCATGAACAATGAATGCTCTTTATGTGTATCATAATATATGCAACATGACAACTATCTAAAGTTTTTAAAAGAACAGGAATGGTAAACCTTTGAACTGACATTGACTTCCCAATAGAAATGTCGAGGCGTGCTTTGTTGCAAAATCCTTTTTGATCATTGATACTATTCTAGATCTCCCTCAGAGCATCCCGTGAAGTAATATATATCGGGCTGAAAATACGACCATATATCTGGAAGTGTACGTTCACAGTTGAAGGAAAATATACATTGACTTTTTTACATCATGGTTAGGTGAAGTTAGGTGGCACTCATTCTTAGGACCAAATAATATGATTCAGAATAATGCTATTCTGTCACAAAAGCTCTTCCATCTTGTATCGCCCTGGACCTGCAACAGCTGCAAAATATTTGAAGGCAATGCAAGTAGCTTGTCATATGTTATCTTCCGTTTACCCGAACAATAGGGGTGCTTTAACATCTTTAAGGAGCGATACAAAAATGAATATTGTATGTTTCACTTAGGAAACATGTCTTAGTGAAAAAATCCAACTGACATCCTTGTATGACTATCAATCAGACAACTACCAGCACTGATATGTATAAGTGACTGAGTGAGTGAGCTGGTTTATAAACTAACGTCCAAAACAAACTTGCCAACTTTAAAAATTAAATTGTTGAAAGACAAATACTTTTAACTGAACTTAACCAATTTTCCAGACTCTGTTTTACATTTAAAGGGTGCTGATCACGAATAAATAGGATACCAACTGAAAAAATTGTTTATCAAGGTCAAAATTGAAAAGCAAAATGGCCACCAAATCACCTTTTTGGTGAAAAAATACTGAATGCTTACATTGGTATACATGTATTGTGAAATATAAATTACCACTGTATAATTAAAATGTTAATATTGTTGTCACCACAAGGTATAGAAAGAACTGCCTTTAATTAAAAACAATAATTAAATTGGATTTGGTTAAAAACATTCTTCATTCCAAAACTATTTTTTAAATGTATTTCATTCAAATTTTCAGATATTATTAGGAATGAGTTAACAAAACGTTTTAGTTGTTAATTAGTTTAGATGATGTTTTAAGACATTTAAAGAGTGCTGATCATGAATAAAAAGGATTCCAAGCTGAAAAATGTTTTCTGGACCCTCAAAATTGAAAAACAAAATTGCCGCGATAATCACTGCAAGTAATGGTGGGTGTGCACGGTATGTCATCACCTGTGACTATATATCTATTTTCTAATTTTTTTAAACCCGATTTTTTTATACATTTAAAGGGTGCTGATCACGAAAAAATAGGATAACAACTTAAAAGACTTGTTTATGTTCCTTAAAATTGAAAAACAAAATGGCCTCCAAAATAGCTGCTTTGTGCGGATTGACGGTATTGCGACTGTGGAGTAACAAATAGAATTCAAAATTATACCAATACACAACAACATATATATTTCATGAATATTTCTATTTTGTAATCATTTCGGATGAAAACGATACGTATAATCAATGAAACTTGAACAAACACCCCTCAACACAATATAGATGCTGAAACATACAAATGTGACTTGGCTTTGATTCATGACACTTCATCAGTAAACTTTACTACACATCAGAATTGTCATTGAAACAACTTTCGTCATCACCAGACCTCGTGCAGCCACGCGTAGCAGTCAAAGAAGGTTTGATCTCATGCTTTTTCAGCGCAAGTCTCGACATTTTGTTTGACATGAGCATGTAATAAGTGCAAGCCAGGCTTCAGGAAGGGAATCCAAAGATATCAACAAGGGTTGTGAACCTTTGCTCTATTCCAACCCATCTCTGTGAATTAGGGAAGTGATAGAATAACTTCACAGGCTTTCCTACAGATCATGATTTGGTAATGGATACACTGGATGACAGGGAATTGTATATTACATTTGCTGAGGATATCATGAATCGCTGGCGCCTGGTTATTCTTGCAGTCAATCTGTCTATCCATTTGTTGTATTTGATTGATACATTTAAAATATAATGTAGAAATGCTATTGAATTGTATCATTTGTTTCAAGGAATCGATCATATGTGCTCGTTATCAATGCAAAGCCAAACTTACTATAAGGTACACAATGTAAGTCGACAACTTAATTGTTATAGGTACCAAGGAAACCATTAGTTTCCCTGCGCAAAATACAAGAAACAAATCAAAGGGTGACATTATCCTCAAAGTATGATAATAACAATGCTTATAACCTACGAGGACAAACATATCGACGGTCATTTGTTTTCATACAATATGCACCGGGTAAAATATCACTTTGTCATGGTGACATTTAATCATGGCAATGTTATGACGTCACGTTGCTTCTGAGAAGCCACCTTCCAAATACAGCGATGACGGGGAGCCTGCCTTTGTTGGAAAATAGATTATGGCGGGTTTTTTTCAATTAAAAACTTCAGTAATAAATAGAAAATTATATTCGTGCCGATACCATACTATGTGAACGACCTAAATGTTGACATGATATAGGTGGTTGTGTCGTAAACATGATATGACAAGGGCACTCATATTTATCTTCTATTAAGTCGGCTATATTCCAACCATGAGAAACGTCTTCAAATAATGTTACCAAAGTCCCAATAGTTTCCATGGAAACAAACATCACATTTATTTTAGAAATCTATAATAAAAATGCACAACGTCACTATTTGTTTGATAAATGACAAAGATTCATTCATAATAGGGGCGGTGGGGTAGCCTAGTGGTTAAAGCGTTGGCTCGTCACGCCGAAGACCCGGGTTCGATTCCCCACATGGGCACAATGTGTTAAGCCCATTTCTGGTGTCCCCCGCCGTGATATTGCTGGAATATTGCTAAAAGCGGCGTAAAACTAAACTCAGTCAGTCAGTCAGTCATTCATAATAAAGGTTTTCAGTTCGATAAAAAGTACACATTTTAAACAATGTTTGGCCGTATGGCCTATGACACACCAACGATACCTAATAATACATAATTGTAAAATATTTGACATTAAAAACATATACACGTATCCACATATCACAGATCAGTTTATCTGTCTGTCGTGGGTACCGACAGCCGCACTATGTGAGAATCACAGCATGCTGGGCCGGGACAAGCCACCCCTATACTGACGTCATCACCCACTGACATGCGTCAGTATCCACGACAGGCCGATAACAAAGCATGTATACATGTGTAAAAATTTGAGATATATATCTTAAACATGAGAGTGATGTGGTTAATACTGCTTATTATCTGCAAATTGCCGGCGCTTGCGCATTTTAGTAACTAATGCAGTTAGAGGCGTTCTCGTGAGCTCTCCAGTCGTCCCGTGTCATGCACATGGGGATGATTCTGTACATATTTCTCCTAATGAGTTTTACCTCGCGTTGCAGGCAGGTGAGAAACTTTTCGGCTGCGTCCAAACCTCCGTAGATCACGGGAGGATTCGTTTAATCGTCGTATCGGACCACCACGTACCTGAACCCGCAGGCCTCATGTTCTTGCATTTTGCGAGTGAAACTCTGGTTGGAGGCCGGCGTGTTGGTTGCGTGGTTGTCAACGTTTTTGATGAGGGCCTAGAAGCTAAGTAGATCACGTAGGGCACGGGCGTTTGTTTCTTGGGGTTGACGAATTTTAAGATGTTGTATTATTATTATTATTACTTCCTAAATCTTTAAATCGGCAATGTTTAACCATGATGATCGCTGCTGTCAGCGGACCCAGGAACATGCCATCCTTGTGGTACAGATGGCAGCTGATTGCGCTCAAAGCGTGACTGACGAACGGATCCACGTCAAGGTCTTTGCACATGTACAGTCGAAATGGGAAGGAGATACGAAGCGATGCCATGGTAGATTTGAGTCATGGCCGACCCTATGGTTGTCATCAATTTATTACATTATTACACTATTATTGTCACTGAAGTATTAGTTGCCTTTGTCACCGACCACAAGCGACACAAGCCTTTCTCGCTTGTCAGTGTTGGCATCGTTGTCGCATATTTGTTTCAGTAGGTCGTCGCTCTCCATCTTATAACTTGGAGATTAGGATCGTGATCCCTTTGTTCCCATTGTCGATGCGTTGCCCGCTGCCATGCAGCCGATTGTCGTCTGTGGATTGCATGTCCAGCCACAGTGTGTACTGGGTGGTCAGGTATTCCCCGATCGTCACATTGTGGAGTTGAAGATCCTTGACGACCACATCGATTTCCGGCATGCACTTGATCGCTGGCAGTTTTCGGATCTTCTCCCACTGTTGGTGAGCTTGTATGCCTTGGCTAAACACCTGGTTGGGCACACCTTCGATGGTCACTTTGGTGATCTCGGGTTCTAAGTGGCGACTTCGTTGCTTTCTCTTGTTTGAAAAGGCCAGTATTCCACCACTGGAATGATCAGAATGCCTTTCTTTGATCGGGCCGGCACGTTCAGGTTCATGTTCCACAGCGTGTAGCTCGTCTTTGACGATCGTACAGGATGGACAGCTTTCCCGAGTAGTGGTTGCAAAGCTGCCAGGCCAGTTCTGGGCTCGTGACCATGTCAAACTCCAGCAAATGTTGTCGATGACATAGCTGGCCTCGGTGCCGTTTGGGGTATTGAGAACTTTGCCGTAGTCATTGAACGTGAGTTTGTATTCCAGCCTGTCGCCCAGCGCAGCCTGGTAA